GCGCCTGGCGCAGCAGCGGCAGCAGGCCCTGGTGGAGAGCGTCTGCAGGCACGAGTACCTGGCGGAGAGCGCGGAGCTGGACACCTGGATACAGGAGCAGTATGCTGCTGCCTCCAGCGAGGATTATGGACAGGATTATGAACATCTATTGGTCTGTACTCATATTACACATTTTTAAAACTAAACAAACTATAAAATTGTGTAATTAATGGTTTCTTTCTCAGATTTTACGTTCAAAGTTCGAAGAGTTACGTCACCGTGTGGAAAGTGGTGCGGAGAGGTTCAACCAGTGCGAGGAGCTGGCTAAAAAGCTGCTCGCCTCCGACAGCCCCTACATCGCTGACATCGAGCGCCGCCAGGAGGCGCTGGGGTACGTTCTCATGCTGTATAGAATTCTTAACTATTTTTAAACTCGTAAAAATAGTCACATTCCCACATTCATCAGCTAATACCACGTTAAAATCCCGTCAATATTGGTTCTGTATTCCCGGAGATTACCCGAAACAAACACGGCATGCTGCTAAATTAAAAAAAAAATGGCCATCTTTTGCATTCCCGCGTGCATCTACCTCTTACAGCCATCTTCCAGTTAAATGCTCATCAAAATCGTACCACCAATTACAAATATAGAGGTCTCCATTTGACAGTTCGGAATTTAAAAAAAAGTAACCATGTAACCATATATGGAGGTCCATGTCAGTTACCCTCTAGTAAAAGTCCCGTCGAAATCTTAGCTGTTTTAGAGATTACCCGGAACAAACGCATTGCGGACAGATAGACATAAAGATATGCAAGGAACAGGTAAAGGGAAGCAGAAAACCAACCAATAAGAGAGGTCGTATCAGCTGTGCCCTTTTTTTTGACCGACTTTCCAAAAGACGGAGGTACTCAATTCGTCTGTATGTATTATTTGTTATGCTTTTGGTGAATAATAGAAGTAATGTGTTGTTTCAGCGAGTGTTGGCAGCGCCTAGTGGAGCAGATCGGGTCGCGCGCCCAGCGGCTGCACGCGGCGGGCGAGATCCACCGCTTCCACCGCGACGCGGGCGAGCTGGTGGTGCGCGCGGGGGAGCGCGCCGCGCGCCTCGCCGCGCCGCCGCCGCCGCGCGACCTGCGCGCCGCCGCCGCCCTGCTCCGCGACCACGACACCCTGGAGACTGACCTCCTAGCTATCGACGCACAGATGCAGGTACACCACACGCGCTATAACACCTTCTAATTCCATCATACACCTGTCCTATCTTATCGTTCATATAAACATTCAACACATTCAAGCAGCAAGTAAATTTATAATATTTCATCTGGTGCTTCAATGCATGACAGGTCTTTTTAGACCCCCCAGCGCTAGGAAATTTAAATTGCTAATAATTGTGAAACCATAATGTATACACCACACTTGAGATAATCGTTTTGCAAAACTTTTTTTTTTCGTCTGCTCGCTATAAGTGCCGCGTCAGGTCGATATCAGCCTGATACGCAGTGAGCGTGTTAAAAACTGCGATTTATTGATTGTTGTTGTATCGTCCCAATGTCCACAAAACAAGTGTAACTTTTAATGTAAAATACTGTTAGAACTCCCTCATTATATATTACAATTATTTATTGCAGGGGAGGCGAACATTTATGTATCAAAGATCCATTTTTTGACAAAACATTTGATGCATTCTTACTGCCATCAAATAATTTTAACTGATTATTACGTCCATTCCATAAAGCGTAGTCATGACATCGCGTTCACTTTTTATATAATATCTAGTTCATAGTTTTTCGTAATGTTTAATAATTCTCGACGTCTTTATGTGTCGTGCGCCAATGGTTCGCTACCCCTGGTCTATAGAATAACAACCGGTTTCAATATATTGAACATTGCATGTTACAGGTGCTTCAAGAGGAAGGTGCTCGTCTCCAGAAGCTGTGTCCAGGCGGCAACGAGCAGCAGATCGCACTGCGGCAGCGCGCGCTGGCGGACGCCTGGGCCGCGCTGCGCAGTGCTGCAGACCAGCGCCGGCTGCTGCTGCACCAGCATCTGGAACTGCACCAGTTCCTCTCTGAGGTGATATTATTGTTTGTTGGCACACAACCAAACTCATCGCTAGTGTTATTTTACTGGTATGGGCGCATTGAACAAACTTGTACCAAAGTTTGAGAAAAAAAAACTTGTCAAAGTTAAAGGAATTTTGATTTTAAGAAAGTATTGGATTTTTTTATTGTGTTCTTCTATGAGTTATTCAAAACGATGGGATAACGGTACGAAAGCCAAACCGAATCTTTTAGACGTTATCTTTAGTCGGAAATCTGATCTTTTTCCACAAAAATAAATATCTTTGAAATTACGAGAAATCGGGCAATTAGCTATTGAGGTCCTCTAAACGCGTTTGATACGTCCGTTGAGAATCATCCTGTATAGTCATGCATAAGTTACAAAATTATAACTTCTGCATAACTAAACGCACTTTTTATGAGTGACGAATCGCATTTAACAAGAATCACATTAGTTATAAGTACACTGGTAGAGATAGACATAAAAAGAGATGTAATATGTCAAAGATGACATCAAGAAGGGAGTAACTGAGATGTATGAAAACCCGCGCCGACTTGGAGTAGGATAAGCTAGAGGAGATACAGGAGTTGTAATGTAGTGTTCTACCAGGTGCGGGATGTACTGACGTGGTCAGCAGCTCTGCGAGGAGGCATGGCAGGTGCTGCGCGGGCGCGCTCAGCTGCAGCGGCGCAGGCGCAGCGCGCGCACCACGACGCGCTACGTGCGGAGATAGACGCACGAGATGATGACTTCCGTCTCGCTCTAGAAAGAGCACAGCGCTTGATTGATGCTGGACATCCTGCTGCACAGGTCTGGATCATAGATTTAAAAAAATACTCAGTGGTTATGTAGCTTTCTAAAGGTGCAAGAATTTTTAAAATCGGCTCAGTAGTTTTTGAGTTATTTCAATAAAAAGACTAGATATAGTGAACATCATCTTTCACCGGTAACTTCTTTGAAAGGTACTTTATTTAGGACATGTTGCAGTTTCTATGTTCAGTATCCCACCTCATGTCAATGCAGACACGTTGTAAAACAATTTGCAAATTATAATAAGCTCCATCTTTTCTTTTAAAAATAAACTAAGCAGAGTCACAAAACATTCAAATTTTATTTAGTGACATCTATTGGCAACTAATTTAAATATAATTAACTAACTGTTGCTCACGACTTCTTCCACATGAAATGAAAAAATAGTAAGAAATGTTTACGGTGTAAGAATTTTAGAAACCTGCTCAGTAGTTTTTGAGTTATTTCAATACGTACAAATATCCAAATATTTCCTCTTTACTATATTATATTTTTTGAATCTCTGGTGGCATAGAATGTGTATGACATAGTTATATGTGCAGGAGATAGCAGAGAAGTGCGAGGCTGTGGTGGAGGAGCGCGCACAGCTGCACAGCGCGTGGGCGGCGCGGCAGGTGGCGCTGGACCAGCTGCACGACCTGCACTGCTTCCTGCGCGACGCCAAGCAGCTGCACGAGCTGTGCGCCTCGCAGGAGGCCGCGCTCTCCACAGAGATATCGCCCACCTGCAGCGTAGAGGAAGTCGACAACCAACTTAAAAAGCACGAGGCCTTTGAGAAGCTGCTCGCTACACAGGTACTATCCCCCCTCCCTCATTTCTAGCCTAATCCACTAACATTTTTAATATCTTTAATAATTTTGGTATCCAGGATGAGAAATTAACAACATTAAACAGCCACGGCGATAAGCTCCTGCAGCAGAACCATGTGGAGAGCCAACGCATCGCTGATGAGCTGCAGCAGATCAACGAAAGGAGAAAGAAGGTAACACCTCACAAGCTTCTTAATTCAATTTTATTTTATTTCAGTTCAGGAGTTAATTTCTCTTCTTTTTCTAGTTATATGACTCTGCAGCGCGTCGTCGCGAGCAGTTAGTACGTTCGCGTGCGCGGGCGCAGTTCGCACGTGACGCTGCAGAAGCTCGCGCCTGGGTGGCTGACAAGCTGGCCCAGCTGCCCGCACAAGCTGGTAAGCTACAAACTTACAAGCATCATTATCTGATATCATTGGATACT